CTTTCTCCAGTACAGAGAACCACTTATCTGGGCGTGGTGTGGGATTCGACCACGATGCAGGCACGCAGGTCTCCTGCTCGGATCGAGTCGATCCTCACCGCAGTTGCGAGATTAAGAGAAGGCCGGTCAATCACTGTCAAGCAGTTCCAGACTGCTGGGTCTGATGGCAGCTGCGTCCAACGTGATAACTCTTGGCCTGCTGTACATGAGTCCCCTACAGTGGTGGCTCAAGACCAAGAGGTTCTCCCCGAGGAGAAACCCGCTTCGCATGCTCAAGGTCACGCTGAGTGCCTATGTGCCTTAGACATGTGGAGGAAACCTTGGTTTTTGTCTCAGGGCCCGGTGCTGGGAGCTCCTTGTCGCTGCGTAACGCTAGCGACGGACGCGTCCCTCACTGGTTGGGGTGCGGTCATGAGTGGCTACCCTGCCCGCGGTCTGTGGAGTGGTCGCCATCTGACATGGCATATCAATTGTCTGGAGATACTGGCAGTGTTTCGAGCTCTGAAACACTTTCTCCCAGACCTAAGAGGTCACATGTGTTGGTGCGCACCGACAACACAGCAGTGGTCTTTTATATATGTGGGGGCAGACATCCTGTCGAGGCAGGGGCTGAGGCCCGGGGAATGGATGCTTCACCCCGAGGTGGTGAAGCAGATATGGAGAGTTTTTGGCCAGGCTCAGGTGGACCTGTTTGCGACTCAGATGACATTGCACTGTCCCCTCTGGTTCTCTCTGACTCATCCAGCTCCACTGGGGCTGGATGCCATGGTACAGACGTGGCCGAGGCTTCGTCTGTACTCCTTTCCTCCGATTGTTCTGCTCCCAGGAGTTCTGGAGAGAGTGCGCTGGGACGGGGCCCGTCTGTTGTTAGTAGCCCCGGTCTGGCCTGGAGCTGTGGAAGCTGTGGGTGTGGCCTCTGAGGAGGTACAACTCATAGCTTCCGGTCTCTCAACCTGGGTTGAGACCGCCAGCTCCACCCAGCTAACTGCCCGTTTGGCACAGTTCTGGAGCTCCTGCAGGCCTGTCTATCCGCAGGGTTGACCCACTCCACCCTAGAGGTCTTCGTGGTGGCCATTGCGGCCTACCACGCCCCTCTCGGTGGCCATTCAGTGGGAAGACACCCTCTTCTTACACGTTTCCTCCGTGGTGCGCCGAGGCCTCCGGCCAGAGAAGCTTATGCTAAGTGGTGGATCAGGATGGGGGGTCAAGGCTCACTCCTCCAGAAGTTGGCCTTCGGGACAGCGGGCCCCACCTACTTTAGCCACTCCTGGCTCCCCTTTCTCTCGCCTTAGTTGTGCTCTTCCACACTAGGCAGGGATTTGCAAGTCTGGCGGAGTGGGCATTCTCGTTCCCTTAGCGTTTCGACGCAGCTCGAGTTCCTAAAGGGAAACGTCTCCAGGTTACGCATGTAGCCATGGTTCCCCGAAGGGAACGAGATGCTGCGTCTCAGGGCCATACTTCCGGCATCCCTGCCAGCGCTTGCTTCATTCCTAGAAGCTGACGCCGGTTTCACCGCACGTGCTTTTATGCTTCCTGGTCGCTACGTCACCCCGCCCGTGACATCTCGCCCATCCATTGGACTGATTACACATGCGATTCAGAGCGTGGTCACGCTGGAGGCGTTCCCTTAGTGTTTCAACACAGCGTCTCGTTCCCTTCGGGGAACCATGGTTACATGCGTAACCTGGAGACGTTTTTGATTAATGAAAAAAACACATACAGTACTTTCAGTCAAAAATAAACAAAAAATTGTTCAGTAAGTCCTGATAGAAAATTGTAAACAATAAAGTAACAATTTATTTGACTATTTTATTCAATGTAACGATGCTTTAAAATCTGCTATTACATTTTTTTTTTCATTTTAATTACAATTGTGCCCATGTCTCTTACAAGCATGATGTAGAACAATCATACTAATACTGTATATCAATAATAGAGTCTTATGTTATTATGTTGCATTATATCATGTACCAAATGCTGTATTTGTGTCTGTATCATGATACAGAACTTTGACACAGACGTAATCTTTGAAATCATCTTTAAATGGCTCTGGTTGTTTGATTTCTAATGTCACTCATGTGAATATGTTCAGTCAAAAAAACAAAAAAAAAACAGTTTATGCCCTTCAGACTCAAAACAACATTTTGGTCACAGATGTGATTAAATGTGTATTGATTTTAAAATGTGGTTATGTGTGTGATGTATCATTTGTGTTTCATTAGGTGTTCGGCTAGATCGTGTACGTGGAGGCCGACAGAAATACAAGAGGAGAATGGATGCAGAAAATTCAGCCTACCTGGGGCTCACACTGCCACCGCCAGCCAAAAAACCCTGTGAGGACACACACACTCACACACTCACTCACTCACTCACTCACTCACTC